CACCCCTAACCTGGGCCCCTATACCGCCTCCTCATGCTGCTGCCGGGCCCACAGTCTCTCAGGGGTCCCGGTACGGCCTCCATTGCTGCTGTCTCCATCGCCACACCTCTCCCCAGTGCCATTTCGGTCTCCTCACACTGCTGGTGTTTAATTTTTTGTAAGGGTGCTGGCAGATTCGGGCCTCACATGTGCTGCCGGCCCCCTAATCTGCCATTGGCCCCTATACCGCCCCTCTTTCTGCGCCAGGTCCAGAGTCTCTAAAGGGTCCCTGACCCCCTCCATTGCTGCTGTCTCCATCGCCACACCTGCCATGTGCCACTTTCAGGTCTCCTCACACACTGCTGGTGTGTTCAATTTTTGACTAGGGGTGGCAGATTACGGCCCCCATAGCGGCGCCAGGCCCCTAATCGCCAGGGGCCCCTTTTACCGCCTCCCAGCTGCTGCCAGGCCCAGAGTCCTCATGCCAGGTGCCACTTCAGGCTCCTCACACTGCTGGTGTGTTCAATTTTTTGTCATAGGGTGCTGGCAGATCCCATACATGGCCTAATCTGCATGGGCCCATTACCGCTCCTCATGCTTGCTGCCAGGTCCAGGGGCATCTAATCTATGTGCCACTTTGGGGGTCTCCTCCCCTGTGTGTTTACATAGGGTGCCATGCTTAAGGGCCTCCATAGCTGCTAATCTGCCCATGGGTTCCATGCTGCTGCACAGTTCTCTCATGGGTCCCTGTACGGCCTCCCATTGTGCTGTCTCCATCGCACACACTCTGCCCATGGTGCCACTTTTTTCAGGTCGCATCACACACTGCTGGTGTGTCTTCCATTTTTTGTCATAGGGTGCTGCAGATTACAGGCCTCCATTGCTTGCTGCCAGGCCAAGTAATCTGCCATGGGGCCCCGTACCGCCCTGACTGGACACGCTTGCTGCTGGGTCCACAGTGTTGACTGGGTCCCGTGTACCGGCCCTCCAATTGCCTCCCACTCTGCCCTGTGCCACATTATGTCTCCTACACTCCTGCTGGTTTCATTTTTGTCATAGGTTGCTGGCAGATTACAGGCCTCTCCATAGTGCTTGCCAGGCCCCAAAATCTGCCATGGGCCCCGTACCGCCTCGTCACGCTGCTTGCTGGGTCCACAGTGTGACATGGGTCCTTGTTACCGCCTCCCATTGCTCCCAACTCTGCCATGTGCCACTTTCAGGTCTCCTCACCTCCTGCTGGTTTCCATTTTTGTCATAGGGTGCTGTATGGCCTCCCATTGCTGCTGCCTCCACCGCCACACTGTGGCTCCAAACACTGGTTTTGGCCCCCGTGACTGGCCAAATGAGTGAAGTGTGCGGTGATTCTAAGATCGACGGCACTCATCTGCATGTCATACTGAGTGACAGTATTATTTCTCTTCCCCAGCAGACTCCAAGGGCATTTTAAATTAAAGGTACAGTGTTCTGCACTAATATTAAGTCTCTCTGAAGCCTAGAAACACCCTTTTTAAGTTAAATTCACAGCGAATTTATTCGACTCGAATCGAATATTGTCCACGGAATTCGCCGAATCAGTCAAATCAAATTTTTCATTTCTTCGCTCATCTCTAGTTATAACCCATGCAAATTTTTTTTTTTCCTCCTGGGTCCTATTGGGGAGATTTACTGTCATTTCCTGTCCCATAGTCAGAACAAGAAGTGAGAGAAAATATCTGCAAATTAAGGAAATTCCCTGGAGACTTCCAGGTCACCAGGACTAGTGTGTCTATTGGGAAATTTCCCCTCTACTACTTTTCTGGGGACAAAACAAAATTTGGGGGTTCTTTTACTTTCAATGATAATGGTAAACAGGGCAATAAGAGAGAAAGTGAATCTCCCTACAGGGGGCACAGACTGCAATTAAATCCTGGTGTGCTAATCCCTCTCCACTCTATCCAAAACTTTAAAAAGGTTTTGCCTTTAGTTATAATTTAACTGGACCTTGTAACTCCTTTTATTCTGTATTCTGCTTTACCTTTTTTTTGCTGTGGAATGCTCACAAACATTCTTACATGCTTACATGCTCTTAATTCTTAATATATTTTATTGTCAGTTTTTTTAAAACAATTATACAGTGGATATGAAATAATGTAGAGAGGGTCTCCAAGATCCAATCCAAGGTCCCAGTGATAATATGACACAAAAAATTAGTACACATTCATGCATGGAACAGGTATCCAGATTGTACAAACACACAAACCATTCAAAGTATCAATATCTCATTGCTAGCATCCCATAAATTAAAAGAAAGTGACAATTCTTAATAAAATCATCCAAGAGAAGGGGGAATGTAGTAGAAGAAGAAACATAGAAGATAGAAAAGTTGGTGAAGTCAATGAGGTATAGATACTGTATATTAACGTCCTGGTCTGGGTATCCCAAAATGAAGAATCAAGATTTGATAAAACACAAGAGCTATCCTTATTGAAGATGTCTTGGCTAAGAGAATCTATACTCAACTGTGAGGAAGTGTTAGATGATGAGTTTATGTGAAATCTCCATTAATCACTGTAAATAATATTGTAATTATGAATACAGTTGCAAGAAAAAGTATGTGAACCCCTTGGGTTTACGTGGAGTTTTGCATGAATTGGGCATAAAATGTGCTCTGAACGTCATCTAGGTCACAACAATAGAAGAACAGAGTCTGCTGAACATAATACTACACAAACATTAGATGTTGCCATGGTTTAACTGCACATAACATGTAAACATTCACAGTGCAGGGAGGAAAAAGTATGTGAGGCCCTAGCTTAATGACTTCTCCCAGAGCTAATTGGAGCCAGGAGTGAGCCAACCTTGACTCCAATCAGTGTGATGATATTGGATGTGTTGCTGACAGCTGTCCTGCCCTTAAAAAACACACACCTGTTTTGGGTTTACTGGTTTCAAGAAGCACTGTCTGATGTGAACCATGCCTCGCAGAAAAGAGCTCTCAGAAGACCTACGATCAAGAATTGGTGACTTGCATGAAGCTGGAAAGGGTTACAAAAGTATCTCCAAAAGCCTTGATGTTCATGTGTCCACGGTAAGACAGACTGTCTACAAATGGAGAAAGTTTAGCACTGTTGCTACTCTCCCTAGGCGTGGTTGTCCTGTAAAAATGACTGCAAGAGCACAGCGCAGAATGCTGCATGAGGTAAAGAAGAATCCCAGAGTGTCAGCTAAAGACCTACAGAAATCTCTGGCACATGCTAACATTTTTGTTGACACATCTACAATAAGGAAAACATTAAACAAGAATGGAGTACATGGGAGGACACCACGGAGGAAGCCATTGCCGTCCAAAAAGAATATTGCAGCATGTTTGAAGTTTGCAAAAGAGCACCTGGATGTTCCACAGCACTACTGGCAAAATATACTGTGGACAGATGAAACCAAGAATGAGTTGTTTGGGAAGAACACACAACACTATGTGTGGAGAAAAAAAGGCACAGCACACCAACCTCAAAACCTCATCCCCACTGTAAAACATGGCGGAGGGAGCATCATGGTTTGGGGCTGCTTTGCTGCCTCAGGGCCTGGACGGATTGTTGTCATTGATGGGAAAATTAATTCCAGAGTTTATCAAGACATTTTGCAGGAAAACGTACGACCATCTGTCCGCCAACTGAAGCTCCGCAGAGGATGGGTGATGCAACAGGACAATGACCCAAAGCATACAAGTAATTCAACAAAACAATGGCTGCAACAGCACAGAATACGCCTTCTGGAGTGGCCCAGTCAGAGTCCTGACCTCAACCCAATTGAAATACTGTGGCATGACCTTAAGAGAGCAATTCACACCAGACATCCCATGAATATTGCTACACTGAAACAGTTTTGTGAAGAGGAGTGGTCCAAAATTACTCCAGATCGTTGTGCAGGTCTGACCTGCAACTACAGGAAACGTTTGGTTGAGGTTATTGCTGCCAAAGGAGGGTCAACCAGTTATTAAGTCCAAAGGTTCACATACTTTTTCCTCCCTGCACTGTGAATGTTTACATGTTATGTGCAATTAAACCATGGCAATATCTAATGTTTGTGTAGTATTATGTTCAGCAGACTGTGTTCTTCTATTGTTGTGACTTAGATGACGTTCAGAGCACATTTTATGCCCAATTCATGCAAAACTCCACGTAATCCCAAGGGGTTTTTTCTTGCAACTGTATATTTCAGTTAGAGCTGTATCAGTGCGGATGTGCAATATGTCTTCCCATAAATTCCTGTTCTATAGATGCAATAGTTGCCAAAGGGAATATTCTATTAATTACACCTTCTTTACTGTATAACAGAAGTCTTTGCTGAGAATCTTCTTTCAGACAGTTCGGTACTAGAGTTAGTTATCTAACAATGGGACAAAACATATTGACTTCACAACTATTCACTTCAAAGGATCCCACATTTAGATATGCAATGAAGGTGGCCAGCTATTCATGAATACTTAGTTTCCCAGGAAAAGGTCATGAATTGTCAAGCTTAAATTCCATAAAGGGTGTGCCAAGATTTGCCTTAAAGGGGGTTGGTTTATGCTAAATACGGGGGATTTGAAGTTAGCCAATTATGAAAGGGAATAGATTTGCCAACCAATCAGAGATACTCTATGAAAGTTAATGGAGGAGAGGCCTATAACTATAGACACTAGATAGAAATAGGTTCTTTTTGGAACCCCAAGGAAGAGAATGGAACCTGTACATCCAGTTCCATGGTAATTATGGAATATATCCCTTGCACTTATATCTAAATGTTTGTCTTATGTCTTTTCTGTCTCACTCTTTGTATTTCATAATATGTTCCAGCTTTCTTAATAATGTTTCTTTTATGTAACAAGATAGATTGTTTGTGTTAGTTTAGACCTCCATTCTATTCACCAATAAATTTTGGTTGTTGTGTTAAACCTTTCACTTCTGGGTAAGAACTCTTCATTTACCAAATCATATCAGAGAAATATTATATTTCATAATCTATAGATTTGGTCAACAGAAGGTCCGGATGGTATAAGGGGAACAGATCGCGTTTAGATCTTACTCTTCCGAGCATCTGAGTACAGAATCCACATTGGTAAACGAGAGAGGAATGTATCACAAGAATCTGTATCAGAAGCTAAAAAACTCTTCCACTCTCATGTTACCATTCTCAAATGTTCTGTTTTACTAAACATTAGTTATATTCCATGTTATTTGTTTGCCTTACTTTGCAATGAAGGGTTCACATGTTTCAGCTGAAGTTTCATGGTGTATCATGGCTGATTGAGTTCTCTATGTCCATCCAAGAATCCACCTGCCTTGTCCCTATTCTCCAAAGGGAGAAGCAACTTCTTGCTCTGGGTCACATGCGTGTCTAATCAATTTCTTGTGTTGCGTCACACATGTTACATGTAACAAACACGTCTCTTCCAGCATGGTAGGCTCTGTAAAATTGCTTTCACCTGCTGAGCACTAGACTGAGAGACTCAGGGATTGTGGGATATGTAGTTTCTGCACAGGAAAATGCAGTTCTCAAACTACAAACAGAGGTCATGCATTAATCTGTGTAATACCATGCTGCATGCCTCATGTTTTAAAAAAAAGTTAAAATTCTGACAAAGGAATAAGAAGATTTACTCTTCCATAAACTATCCATACAGACCAACAAATTACACCATAAAACTACATGATCTTATGCAGGTGAAAAAGACAAGGTGCTGGTAGGAAGGTTTATAATACCTTTAAATTCCCATGTTCCCATGGTGTCTGTCACATCAAAATATTTGTCAGGAGTGAGATATCATAAGACTTGTGTCGTGTATTGAACCTTTGCTGCCTTTTAGGATAAGTCTGATTTTTAAGCATTTATGAGGAGGGGTGATGATTGGAACAGAGTATTATGTTGTCTGAGCTGAAAGGTTTACTTCAAGGGATATTATGTATATAGTAAATCAAGTAGGATATTTTTTTTTTTTCTCAAGAAAAAGGTTTTATTGAACAAAAAGAAAAATTGTACAAAGATCCAGAGTGCATCAAGGATACACTGCATATTCTAAACAACCAATTACAATTATTAAAGAGCCAATATGTTGAAGAACAATAAGGGAATAGGAGAAAAGCACAAATACTATACCATATCAGTGCACAAAATTCTATGAGAAACAGTGTCAATAGATCATTCCCATTATCAAACTATCACAATATTCAGTCCATAATCAAATCTACAGGGGATGGGCCAGGTGTAACCGGCCATGGGGACCACAATTTGTAAAATTTACTAGTGCAGCCTGTGTTGATATATATATAGATTTTTCAAGCCTAATGTTATCCCCCATGTGGACCACCCACTCTTTCAGTGAGAGAGGGTCAGCAGATATCCAATGTCTCAAAATCAACTTACACGCCTGGAAGAGGCTCTAGCTATGGCCTGCTTAGGGATATCTTTGACAGGAAGACCACCAAGGATACCCAAAAGACAGCACTTAGGGTCTTCT